TATTTACTATTAGTCTGTAAGGATTCGTTTTAGAATCAACGTTTCTATACTAAAACAAATCAATTTTTTGTAACTTATTAATATATTCTATTAAACTATATAAGATTGTATATATGTTTTTTATAGTTTGGGATGAGTTAATAGAATATGCTAGAATTATATGAGAAATTTTTTAATTCAACAGCTGATAAATCAATTTAATAGTTGATGAAAAATTCAATCTAAAAAAAAAAAAAAAAACAAATAAATAAAGCTCAAATGCGTTTCTACTAACTTATCCCTTTAACAAATGCTTCATAAAATTTCTAATTTTATTTAACTCATTGTAGCTGGTGAATATGTGCTTTTAAATTAGTTCCTAGATCAATTAACATTCGCAATCAACTTTACGTCTAGGATGTATGTACAAATTTTCTAGTATTCATTATTTCATGTATTATATATGTTTTCTAATTAACTTACTACTATGTATTAGCTTATGAGTATAAGTCTTAAAATTTTTGCCCTAAAAGTTATTTTTTTCTTTAATCAGCTTTTATGGTTTATCATCATTCCAGGGTGTAAGTATAAATTTCATGATATTTGTTTAAAATTGTAATTATGTAATTAACATTTATTTTATATTTTACGTTCATATTTTCATGTATCCTAGATTGTATGTATCACATTCGTTTACAAGATTATTTCATTAAGCTTCATAACACTTATATATTTGACTGAATTATTAGGTCATGAGTATAAGATCTATGGTGCTCTTTTTATGTTAAATATTTTTGTGGTTCTATAATAGATTTTGTCGTATTAACTACCAGCTAGTGAGTATGATTTTGTAATAATGGTTTTAAATATTAGTATTTCAGATTACATAATTCATTAAATCAACATTTAATTTTAATTTATCTATTAAACTTGTTTTAGATGGTAAGTGCGATCTTACATTATTTCATTTTTAAATCAGTTAACATTTCTAAGCAATTATCAATGTATTCCTCGGCGGTAAGCATGATCTTTTGAATATTTATTCTTAATATAAACCTTCCTAAACGCATTGTTAACATTTATTAATTTATCAAATTATTAGAAGGTAAATTTAAACTTTATTTTAATTGTTTTTAAAACAGTTTACTAATTAATTTTATAACGCAATGTATTCTGTTAATTATTAGCTCATTAGTATATGTTTTATAATATCGTTTTTAATATCAACCGCTTGTTGTTCTCTACTCAACATATATTTCTGTACTCTGTAAACTATTAGCGAGTATATATAAATTTTACAATTTTTATTTGTTTTATGATTAAGTACAACTTTGTAGCTTACTATATTCTATTTCCATTAAAATTACTAGAATGCAAGTTTTATAATGAAAATTAAATAGCACTTTAATCAATTTCATGTCTAATCGATGTGTTCTTTTGAATTAATCAAATTGTTTGTTCGGCTCGCGCCCCTGTAATTGTAATAAGTTCTCAACAATCCTCTGTAGAACCTTTAGACACTAAATTAAAGGAAAAAAATTCGGTGGGTCTCATAAACATGTGACATGGTCACGATCATTGATCATCGGAATCGTAAGAAATTAATCGATATATGAAGAATGAATAATCAGTGAGAGTATAAGAGAGTATAAGTAAAATTAATGATGTAATAATGTAATCAATTTTTAGTCAAAATGTATTTTATATTAAAGAGAAAATAAAGAAAAGAAGCAAGTTCTTCCTTTTCGTTTTAAGTAAAGTAGTAAAAAAAAGTGAACCCTTTGTGTTGAAACGCTGGTGGCCATTGTTATTTTGCGACAATCATTGAACAGAAAATACGTGTTTATATAAAACCAACTAATTAATAATAGTTCAATATTTAATATTTTTATGCATCCATCGTAATTTAAGATACAATGCAAAAAACAAAAGAACTTATATTTGCGATAGGGAATTTGCTATAGGTCTTGCGATATCAGGAGTTCGTGCTCTTACTGATCTTCATTACAGTAATACTTTTACATATCATAGATTACAAAAATTGGGAAAAGTACACGTCTACAACAAAGATTGGCTGAAGAACGGGGATTACTTTCTTTATGACTTATGAATTCTTACGTCTGTTTGTATATGTATTAACTAATGTAAACATATAGAATTCTTGTTTAAATTAACACATTCTACCTGAATTAGAATTTATTATAGATAATTGACACATACGTATTAATAAATTGAAATTTAATATCTATTATATTAATAATATTAGACAAGCTACAGTACTAAGTTCACAATTTAAAACCTAAGACATAAGGCTCCAGCCCTATAAAACGTGCCGTTTTATTACTAGTAAATTAATATAGTTATACTCCAGGCCTTATTCAAGAAGCAGACCGGTATGGCGGTGAGTAATACCTGGATCGGTATTATTTTGTGTGATATTTTATGCAATGCAGCAATGTTAAGCGGTAGTATCTTCCCATAAAGCATACTAACAAATTTTACTGCGAAAAATTTGCCCAGATGTGTTCACTGTATGATTTAATATTCATTTTATTCTGAAAGCTGCGAGCCATATGGACAGTCATATACAATTGGTGATACAATTATTTACGATAACTTTCTCAGAAAATTTCCGTTGAGAACCTTATGAATTATTAATTTGTAAATGCTACAGTATGGAAAAGTAAAAATAATCTCTAACAATTTCGTTAATAATAAAAAAAATATAACAGTTAATATATAAATATTTATTTATTTATTTTATTTATTTAAGAATTTTGCAAAGCATCGAATAAAATGATAAGATATGTGTACAGTCGACTCTGCATATAACAAACCCTGAGGGTCTATATGTAAAAAAATTTAAAAAGTTCCTTATAGAGAATTTACTATGTTTTTATACCGAACTCTAATAAATTTGCCAAAAAAAGTTCGTTATAAAAAGGTTCATTATATCCAGAGTCGACTATAATTAGGGTCCTATTTAAATTTGCTATTAATGTTAAGCATAATTTCAATAAATTTAATATAGACAATATATTCAGTAAATCTTCTTTTAACTTCTTTAATACTTTTTACATTAATAATATATCCTTCTTTAATAATATCTTCTTTAATTTTCTCACGAATCCTCTCAATCTCTTTCTCAAAAGTATCAAGAATACTCTCAATCTCTTTTTTAATATCCCTAGTAACCTCTTCATAATTCTTAAGAATCTCATCTTCATTATTCTCATCTTCTTTATTCTTTTTCTCATGAATCCCTTTCTCATTATTCTTAAGAATCTCTTCAAGAATCTCTTCAAGAAACTCTTCCTCAGTATTCATTTTAGTAATTTTGTCGGACACATTCACATTAATTTCTGAAAATGCAGGAATTATAACCCAATTAACTACTAATTTATCGTTTTTGTAGATTTTTTCTTTTTTGGCAGATCGATGTGAATAAGTGAGATATTGAAATATTCCCGCTTCAAGAATATTCATGTAAACACATGCATGTTCAATAAGTTTTTCAGCTATAGTATCTTTTCCTAGAATACGCTTATAAATCTTATGATCTTTTATATCAATGATACAATCTTCAAGATTTTTTTCGAATTTTTCGTTATCATCATTAGATTTCATACAATCTTCGTTATCATCATTAGATTTCATACAATCTTCGTTATCATCATTAGATTTCATACAATCTTCAAAAATGTCTAAAAATAAATCATTCAAATTGTCTGGTTCCTTCAAATCTGACCTTTTCAATTTCCTTGAAAAAAGTTTTTTCAGACAATGATCAGATTTCTTCTCCAAGTAAAGCTTCTCAAAAAAAAGTTCTCTCAGGAAAATCTTGTTCAGATAAAGCTTTTGAAAATTTTTAATAAAATTTAATGCCGTTTTATTCTCTTCATTTTTCCTTGAATAAGCTTTTAAATAAAGATTTTGTTGACATAATAATCTAGTTGCGTGTTCATTAGTAACAACATCTAAAAAAACAAATTTATATTGTTCTATAATGCGTTTACTTTCCCGAAGTCTAAACCCATAATTCTTAATTTCTTCAACTATGATATCTTTATCATGAGAAAAGAATGATGAAATTGAACGGGTTAAAACAGTGCTAAGGATAAAGAAAAAAATTGTATCAACAAATTTAGGAGTACAAAATACGTTATATTCGAAAAAGCATTCTATTAAGGAAAGAAAAATAACGAAAAAGAAAATTTTTTTATGAATGAAATGATTAGTCCTATCTTTTGAAAAAAATTTTGGAAAATATTCTGAAAAAAATTTTGAAAGAAAATAAGATTTGATTAACCAAGTAGCTAATATAAGGTAAATTAGATCCGCAATTAAGTTTAAAAATTGTAAATTAATATAAGCATTTATATATTCTGGATTATTTAATAAATAATTATAGGGATTGTGATAATAAACGTCCAATATATCACTAATAAGGATTAACAATGCGTCAATGAAATAAATAGATACTAGAATTGACTTAAAATGACTATAAACATTTTGATATGATTTTCTACCAAACAAAGTAATTATATTGAAGGGGAACACGTTTAAATCGTGAAAATAACATACAAGATAGCATAAAATTAAAAATGAATTTATAAACATAAATATTAAAATAGCTAACCCGATTTCAATACCAATTTCATTAGTGTAAAAATAAACTATCTATTTAGTAGAAAAGAACCATGAGAAAATAGGTACAAGAGAAAATGTGAAAATTAACAAATCGTCAAGAATGCAAGTATTTCTAAGACTTAATTGAGATGTTACACCATAAACTGCCACATTAAAAAGTAAAGTTGCAATAGCACCAAACCCTGAAGCTTGTTCAAGGATAGTAGTATGACTAGCTCTAGTTTGAAGTTCTGAGTAGTCTAATTTACTAATACATTCATATGATTTTGTGCTTTCATTATAAGTTGGGGGGAAAAAAGCTTTGTTTATTTGATGAGCTATGTTGTTGACACCAAAATTAGGTATATACCACGTGAAAAATAAAATAAAAAAGTGAATAAGAGCAAGAATAAATAATACTGATATAAATGATAAAATTGCTTTGATTACACTCCCATGTTTGATGTGAAACGGGATATATAAAATTAAAAGGCATAATGTTGGTATGATCAAAAAAATTACGATAGGTATTTCGAATATTATACTCATTGAAATAAAATTTAATGTTTTCGTATGTATGTACGTATGCACAATGCAAAAAATCTAAAAATTTCAATCACTTTATATATAAAATAGTGGCTTATTAAGGTTCAAGAATAGAATAGCTGCAACTATAAATGTTGGCAAATTCCCAATTACTATTGTTTGAAATTGTCCACGCCCAAATCCCAAATTCATCCCAAATTCATCCCAAATTCATCCCAAATTAATTTCTCAAAAACTTTATTAATAATTTTTGTTTAAACAAATAGTAGATATTTTTATTGTTATAGATAATATATTTGCAAAATATTAAGACAGCTTTTTTGATTTAATCTTTTACAAATAACAATTGTTTTTTTTTTAAATTTGGGATTTGTCCGGGTTTTGCCAGCAAGTATATATATACCCCTAAAATTAGATATCTTAAATTTTGGAGTGTGAAAAGAATCCTCCGAAAATGAATTATACCATAAACCACCGTATACAAAACCTGAGTATGTTTTCGTTTCACTAATTTAAATCTACTAATAGACCCGTGAGTCTCTTGTATAGGTACAGGTCTGTTAATTATTGCCAAATTACTGATTATTAATACTTATTCCTATTTGTATACCTGGGTGCCCAGAGGATGTAATTTCGAATTTTGGCCCAAATTAAGCTTAATTCAGACCATTAATAAAAATAACGCCCCTGGGCGTTATTTCGCGCTATATATATTATAATAGCATACTTTAGACTCAATGATATACTATATATATGCCACGATGCGTTGAAGTGTTCGGTCAACAATGTAAATCAAAATATGTACTGTAGTACCATATAAGATAATTAATGAATTTTTAGTGATCAGGATATTGATTGGGATTACTAATCACTTTTTAAATATATTTTAATAGTAATGAATGATTTGTATATTTTTAGATGTCCAGAGAGAATTATTTTACTTTTTTTAATTATTTTAACATAAATCGATTTTTAAACACGTTTATAACAAAGTTACGTTGAAATTTAAGCATTAATATTTAAATTTCAATTTAACTCATATTATGACCTATTCACGGATAAAATATTTAATACAAATTTTTTAACGTAACTTTGTTACAACGTGTTTAAGAGTCGATTTATGCTAAAATAATTGAATAAAAAAGTAAAGCAATTCTCTCTAGAAATCTAAAAACATACAAATCATTCCTTACCATTAAAATATATTTAAAAAGCGATAAATAATCCCGATCAATATCCTGATCATTAAATTCGAAATAAAAATTCATTAATTATTTTTATAAGGTACTACATATAGTTTTGATTTACATAGTTGACCGAACACCCAACGATGCGTGCTACTTATGACATACCAATAATATTTTATGCGAGAACTCTATAAAGCACACAGGTGTAATTTAGTATTAATGAAAACTTCCTTATATAAGTAGTTAGAAAATATTTGCAAGACTCAAGTATTGAACTTTCCCAAACATTTTCTAATACTAACACTTCCGACAACTGTTATAAAGCAAAAAATACCTTAAATAATATTTTGGCTTTTTTTCGTTCGTGTATCAATTTTAGCAAATCTAGGAATAAATAAATTAATCATAACAATAATCAAGCTTTTAAATACAAATGAATAAAACTATTTATCTTCAGGGGTAAAGGCGTATTTTTGAGTTACATATTTTTTTATCTATTTAAAATTGTAAAGCATAAAATATTATATCAGATATTTTATTATAACTCATTTCCAAAATAAATTATATACAATAGAAACTTGTTCACATCTGTCGCCGAAGAACTTTCACCTTCTTTAGGTTTTTCAGTTTTAGATATTTCATTTTTCTTAATATCAATTGCATTCTGTTTTTTCTTTTCAATTATTTTGCCTTTTACTTTATCAACTAAATATTTATCTGCACATTCTATTAAATCGTTATCATCTTCAACTTCCATCACTGGAATTTTTACCCTCCTACGTAAAAGAATTTTGTTCAATAGGAAATTTGACATCCTCTCCATTAACAAAGATTTACCCTTATAAAGTATTTAACATTCTAATTTAAT